GTATAAGTACATTTAATGATCTAGAGAATTTATTTTATTAATTCAGATAAAATACTTATCTCTACTTGGTCCGTTCAATACATACAGAATGTACTAGCAAAAGAAGTTGGAATTATACCATTACCTAATCAAGATAAATTATATTTAATCTGGTGCTACAATCGTACCGATGAATTTATCCAATTTTCATCTTAGATTGTGAACATATATAAACTTTATACTTATAAGAACTGATGATTTAATCTTCTGTGTATAAGTTAAACTCTATACACTAAATCATCTACTATATAAGTAAAGGATACATCGACTAATATATGATCTATTTAAATCTTTATTAAAATTGAACAAATAATTATTTTATAATAAATACTATATCTAAATACATAATTAACAGTATATAACTCATGGTTAATAGTATATATCCCAACACTAGCGGCTGACTTTGCTCTGTGATCCTTTTGGATTTTTTGTCCTTTTGTCCCAAGCATTTCCGCACTCCTTGTTCATAAATTTTTTTTTTTTAACTAAATTACACTCGGGTGGTCCCATGCTACGGACTTGATATGATTTGAGATTTTTTCCAGAGTTAGGCGATATTCATGGTGTGAGTTTAAGGACAGGCTTGGTCTTACATTTTTAGCCCAGACGGAACATGAAGCAAAAGCCTTTATCAAAAAATATGATCAATGCTAGTGTTACATCCATATTATGCACCATTAATGGAACCGTTTAATTTTAGGATTTTCCCATGGCTATTCATGAAACAGGAAATGCACATAGTTGTTCCCTTACCATAGTAAAACTTTTCTTGGTTTTGACTGATTATGTTTCTAAGTTGAGGGAAGTAGATTCGTTCTAAAAGTTCTAGGAAAATAAGGTGATTGTATTTATTTGGAGGAATATCATATGTTGCTTTGAAGTGTCAAAGGAAATTATATACAATAACGGACCACAAATTGTTGGGTCTAAGGTAATAGAATTCTTTGAGGAATTTAAAATAAAAAGGATAATCCCATACCATCTAAGTTCAAGTGAGCAGGGCGGAGTCAATAAACAAGCTGCTGATTCAAAGCTTAAATAAGGTTGGAACAATCCAAATAAAAAAGGTTAGAGGTGTACATTGGGCATACCAGAAAATGACCAAAACTAGAAGAGAGAGACAATATTGTCTCTCGTATGTAGTGTTGAGCCTCTCATCCTGGTCAAAATTTGTAACATCCTAAAAGTTTCTAAGATTAGATCCGAGACTTGTAGCAAAAAGCAGCAGAAAAATAACACCAAGATAACTTACGACCCTCAGAACGAGTTGTACAATGGGGACCAACAACCCGTTGGTTGGTTAATCGCGAGGCGTCCCAGAACCCTGTCAAAATCTGCCCAGAATTGACGAGTGAATTGCATGACCCGTTGTTTGATTGTACCAGCCGTTTGTTGTAG